TGTCACCTTCATTACAATCAGAAGGGTGATTAGAGGGAAAATACTCATCCTCACAGAGCTCTGGTAGCTGGTGAAACGTTGGGATCGGTACTTCCTCTGAGTGAGGAACTGGGCGTCTTGCAGAGGCTAAATCAGGATAAGTCCACTTGCTACGGTTGTTTCGATTGATTTTGGGAACTCAGTGGACAGCAGACTGACAATAGGGCAAATATACAGGAACCAATCCTTGCATATGAGATTTAGAACTGCACATTTTGTGTAGAACTGCACGTTACAAAAACGCTGATCTAAAAAAGTAGAGCTGGTAGAGAAAAACTGATTTTATATTTAGATTCAGCGCCTTAAATATAACTAAAATTAGTTCTAAAATCCTAGACACCAAAAAAAAATATTTTTTTTGTAGGCCTGTGTAATAATATTCTGTAGTTCCATCAGGAGCATAAGTCGTCTGCAAGCTTTTCCCATTTGTCTTGATCTGCTGCCAAATGCCACAGCTCACTCCAATTTCTTGCAAGTTTTCTCAGAGTGGATTTCCTTCAGCTGTTTCTTGGTCTCCTTCTTCCTCTATTTCCTTGAGGATTCCAGTGAAGTGCGACCTTTCATGACTGTTCATCATTCTTCCTCAGCATGTGCCCAATCCACCTAAATTTTTGTTTGCTTATCTCCATATTTATATCTGTTTCGACAGATAACTGACAGAGCTATCTGTCTGAAATGGTACTACTAGGCCACCAAATTCTTAATATATCTCTCAGACATCTATTAACCCTTCCGCGACGGATAGTATTTAAATCATTTCCTACCGCCAAACCGACGGGGTATTTAATTATTAAACAGAAAAATGCACTTATCCATGAAAAATTTAGTAACTCTCGCAAAAATTGGTATATTGAGATAAAATTTTCACAGAAATATTCATAAAGAAACGAAGAACAAAACTATATATATATTTTTCAATATAATTATGATAAATAATATTTTTTTACTCACTCGAACTGCTAAAAGTTGAGTTTGGTGTGGTAATCCTGAAAACACTGGTCAATACATAGCCCAACATCACAATCACTGCACCAGTACACGGTTTCTTTTCTTCTTTTGTTTTTTGTACACACTACACATCGCCTTTGTGGTCTAGCCTTTTTTCCTGATGGGGGAATTTTACTAATAAAATGTCTTTCACGAAGCCGGGGGATGGTGTTATCTGATGAATGACGTCGACCTTGTACTCTACGTGCTGCCTGCTCCTGGTCCGTAAACTTCAACAGCAACCCTTCTACCAGATTTACTCTGAATGCTAAGTGGTCTGTCAGTCTTTCCTGATTCTTGTTATAAATTATCATGGCATTTACCACTGTCGCATTCAAAAGGCGTCTGAAGAGTTTCATGTACCACTTATGAAGTCTTTTTCTTTCCACGTTGTAGTACTGTAAAAGCTGATCTTTCAAATCAACGCCACCCATCATTTCATTATAATCAATTATAATTTTTGGTTTTTTTATTTCTTTGTTTCTCTTTATATCTGTCTGTGTGTCGGCATTGTGAAATGTAGAGATCACGGAAACTGGTTTTTTGTCTTGCCACTTGAGAACAGTTATAGGACCTGCGTGCTGAGCTATGATCTCGCCCTTTCTCAACTTTGTGTTTTTTACAGTTGTTGGGACACCCTTTCTGTTCAACCTAAGGGTCCCAACACAGTCAGTGCCATGATTTTTTAATAATTTTGCTAACTGGGGGGAATTGTAATAATTATCCATCCATAGAGTATGACCTCTATGGAGGAGCGGTTCGACCAAATGTAGAACAACAGATGTTGTTTTATTGGTATTTTCTCTGATCAGTGAAGAATTTAGTTGGGTTTCGCTGCCAGTGTAAACAATAAATGACCATAAATACCCAGATTTGGAATCACAGAGTTCATAAGTTTTTATGCCGAATTTTGAAGCTTTCAGTGGCAAGTACATTTTGAATGCCAATCTCCCTTTCCATAGTGTAAGCGATTCATCAATACAAATATTTTGTCCAGGATAGAAGAGTGTCTGAAATTTTTCGTTGAGATGTTGAATGACAGGAAAAATTTTGAAAAGTCTTGTAGGTCCTAGGTAATTATCTTTCTTAGTATTGTCATTGAAATGGAGAAATTTACATATAAGCTGGAATCTGTCTCTCGAAATTACATCAGGAAATGCTGGAGTGTATAGTAATCTTTTCGTTGAAAAGTATGAATTTAGAGTTGGCTTATTGACTATACCCATCAGCAAGAACAAGGCTAAGACCACATACATTTCATTTAGTGTCACTGGTACCCACTGCCTAGCTGGAGATCTAAATGGAAAAACCCTCCCACATATAAATTGTTGCGCATAAGTGTTTGTTTCCTGAACGATATTGTTCACAAAATCCTCAGTAAAAAATAATAGAAATGTCTGTACTATATCGAGCACATTGACAGACTGATTTCTCGGGCCTGAATTTTCAGAAAACCGTTCGCGAACGCCATCATAATTATCCATATTTTGCCAAAAATAACTCTCGTCTGAATCCGCCACTGGAACCCTCGCCACTATTTCGTCGTCATCTTCAATACTAAGATCTTGGATAGCATCAACTACAGCCTGATCTTCAATTTCATTATCACTGTTTTCACTACTATCCGAATATTCGAACTCACTAACTTCCGAGTCGTGAGCAAGGAACTCTTCTAGTTCATCGCCCTGTAAAACTTTCCTACTTGTAGAGGCCATGGTTATGGCGCGACTGAGAGAAGAAAGTGTTATGACATCATAGATTTCTGTATCATTCGTAAGTTTATTTTCTTAGGTTGCATTTGGTTCCAAGAAAAAAGGACCCTCTTGTTTGACTACTTCATTGTGTCAGCAGACTGTACAGCAACCCATTCAAGGAAAACCTTCGTCTGGGGTTTCAGTGAGTGACTCATATAGACAAGCAAAGACCATAGAGTCGAAAGATATATAGTTTTATACATTTTCCTTACTTAGAATTTGAAAAATTTCAATGAAATCTAGGCGCAGTGAGACAAAAGTACGAACTATTACACTAACGATACAAAATAAAAATACCGTGCTAAAAATTCGTCCAAAATAAATAACTCATATACCAATAGAAAGATGAAACCCTAATCTATGTACTCCTGAAAAGAAAATTGGAATATCTTTCCTCGTTTTGTCAGCAACGTCCTTCAAAGCTAACACTGCGCAGGTCGGTGAACTGCACAGATGTCGGTGGCATACGATTATTTAAAGGGTCGGTGAAGCACACGGATGTCGGTGCGGAAGGGTTAATAAACGTTTGAATTTTCCTTCTTAGATCATTTGTGAACAGCTAGGCCTCATAGCATACAAAAGTACAGATTTAACAGAAACACTGAAAACTTTTTATCTTTGTGACTCTATTCATAAAGGTGGACTGCCAGTCCTTTTGCAGTTTGGCAGAAGCTCCTCATGCCTTGTGGATTGTGCTAACATTCAGTGTGGCTCCTCCCTTTTCAGATACTGTACTTTCTAAACAGCTGGAATCTGTTACTCATTTCATCTCTGTACTCTCTCTTAATATAGCTTAATTTGGACTAAATGTTAACCCATTTGGATATAAGGTCACAAATGACAAGTCAGTAAGATTGAATAGTTTTCAACCAGCATAATAAAAAGATTATTGGAAAATATTTACTTATTGTAAATTGTTGCAGCTACATGGCCCTAAGTGACTTAAAATAGAATGCTGTATTTTAACCCTCGTGTCTGTGGATGAGACATATCACTGTGAAGAGTATGTCAACATCTGGTGGAAATTCACAGAATGTTTCCTAATCAGGACACAACAAAACTGTAAATCAATCAGTCACTTCAGTTTTGAGTATACAATGAGCTTTCTGTGAGCACACACTGAGATGTATGTGTTGGATGCACCTGCCATCATGTTTGGTCCATAGATCACTGTAGGTCGCAGTGCAAGGGCTGAGACGGCCCACCCCTTATACATTCATTCATGTTTGGTCGACCCACTAAACACAACTGTTGTAAGGGTATTTACCGCATCATCAGAGTAAGCTGGATAGCTGATCCCATATTTGTTGTAGGCAATAACACGAAATGTATAAGACGTGGATGGCAGCAGGTTCTGGTATGATACTGTGAACTCCTCTAACAGGCCATTATTGGTTCGTGTCACTGTCTGCCACCTAGTGTCATCTGGAACACCAGTGAGAAAACAAAAGTGTGCAATGTTGCAATTCATAAATTATCATGTAAGAATTCAAAACTATTATAAACAGAGGCACAAAGTATACAAGGCCAATGAAAGTTTTATTTTATATTTTAACTATTCTGTGGTTCTCTGTGAGATTCGGCCTGACTTCAGAAAAATATGTTACCATCCCACAACCGTGGCACAACCAAATGGTAACATAAGAACCATCTCAAAGATATCATACAGCTGGGTGGAAGAAGATTGCATCATGGAAGAAACTAGTGAAATGTTTTTCATTTGTTCCCTTATTCTCTTGCTTTTAGTTTGGGTTTGTTTTTTTAATTATTATTTCAGATAACATGTGAACAAGGTTTGTACACTCTGTTTACAGTAAAATGGAAAATACATCTGGAGTGCATCTACTAAATGCAATGGTGGGAACCACCCACAGTGCATAACAGACAACTCCCGCAGTGCACGAAAAACAGGCAATATTTATACATTGCTTCCAGCCTGGCTCCCTGGAAAGTGCTGATGACATTTTTCTGTCTATGCATATTCCTTTGACTCATCGTAACCACCTGTAACTCTTGAAACTAGTTCTGAATCATAAACTTTTGCTAAACTTTATGCCCCTGATTACACAAAATATCTTTCTTAGTAAGTTCAATTTAAAGTTCTTTTGAAATGGTGTGACATTGTTTATAACCATTAGTTTGCCTTCATCTGTCACTCTGGTTTATTAAAACCACTGTGTTTTGAAGACTGGTTCTATTTCCATACTCTGGTGAGTATAATTAAATAAAATTTACTCAGTTGGGCCCCAAAGTTCAGCACACCATGCCTTTAGAGTACCTCTACAGAGGGGCCCAAAACAGTAGTTTCTCTTTCATAGCCTGTTCGTTGGATGACAGAAACAGCACCAATTTTTGAAACACGATTCTAACAAAGAATGGTGGAGAAATTAAAAAAAAAAACCTTTAAATAATCTGTCCGAGTCCAGTGGAACCCAAAGATTTACGTTTTCCTCAATTTTATGTTTGATTTCAATGATCCCAAGACAGGAAGTTAAACACTAAATTCCTTATATTTAAGATTTCCCCCAGTTTAGAGTTCAAACCCAACTCCAAAGAAACCTTAAATGGGGGTTTCACTGTATTTACACATTTGCGATCGCTAATCATGGCATTTATCTAAATTCTTGTAGAAATGTTAACAAATGCTACAAAGGCAGAAAAACATTTATCTATCATGAAAATAAAAGTGACAGGTGTAAGAATCTCCTACTTCAACACACTTGGTGCAAACACTTCATACCATATGCAAAATAGTGATGTAATTATTTGAAAGTTCATCAACTTAATATAACTGATAATGAATTTATACTTCATCTACTAAACTGTGATGACAACAAATTCTATGGCATCCTACTGCCTGCCATAAATACTTGACTGCATCATGCCAGACAACACAACAGCTAAAATATTTCTTTCTAGATAATATTTTGTGCACAATTGGAAGTCGAGACTCTTGTATAACTAACTTTCTACTAATTTCAATCAACAACAGCAATTTCAAAACCTGTAATCATTAGTAAAGTTACAGTCAAGTGATTTGATATTGACATACTTAGAATTTATCACAGAACCACAGAAGTGAGAACAGTAATGTTTACATTTACATATACAAGCTGCGACATCAGTCGATACAGAAGCAGGCTGCATGGCTGAGCAACTGGGGTTCAATTGCCAGAAGAGCCAAGAAAATTTTTCCCTTTCACATGCATTCAGACCAGCTCTGAGGCTCACCTAACCTCCTACCAAATGGGTACCAGTGGCTTTCCCCAGAGGTAAAGCAGCTGGAGCATAAAGCTGATGGCTGGACTCCATCTGGACTCTTTTCTTTGAGGTGGAATATTTAATGATACTTTCTATAGCTAAACTACACAGCTCTGAATAAATGGATGGTAGGTGAATTGGAAAGGATTTGGAAGGAAGCAGTCATGGCCTAATTGAGGTATTATCCTGGCATTTTCCTGGAGGTACTGAGGGAAACCATTTTGTTCATACAAAGCACCTTCTAGAGCATTCATCCTAGACCAACCTGCTTGGTTACATACAATGCCACAGCCCAGAAACCCACAGTATAAATGAATGACAATGGGCTGTTATATTTTTAAATGAAGCTGTTCCAGATCACAGGTTTTGGTATTGCTGATAACAACAACATTCAATACAAAGTGGTGTGCATCGTGAACTCTCTGCAGAAGATGTCACTGAAACTTACAAAGTTGCCAGTCTTCTAAAGCTGTTGGGACAGAAAATGAATTGTAACAGTGACACATAAAACTGTACTTCCACATTGTGTTCTTAATACTATTAAGAAAGGCTAATGAGTTCAGAAAACTGAAGTTGAATGTTACATGAAGGAAAACCTTCAAGTGAGGATCAATAAATTGCAGTTCTATCATGTTATATCCAGAGCTCAAATTCTAGAAAAACAAGGTACTTGTACTCACATCAAGCAAGAGTCAAGACGTATTACAGTGGAATTCCCATTTAACATTCCTTGAATTAAATATTCAATTTCAATGATCCCACACTTGTAATCACAAAGTTAAATTTCTTTCATTTAAGATTTTGCTTGGGGGCAAGTAGTAGCACAGTTGGTTGGGGCACTATGCTAAAAGCTGGAAGATCACAGGTTTGATTCCCGATGAGGTCACTGGATTGTTTTAATCAACCTAATCCTTCCAGCCACACTATGGCACTGGGGTCGACTCAGCCTCTAGCAGAAATGGGTACCAGGAATCTTCCTTGGGGTAGAGGGCAACTGATGCATAAGGCTGACAACCTCACTGCCATCTTTGAACCGATCATCCACAACACTATGGGCTTCCATAGCCTGTTACAGGGATAGCTTTACCTTTTTTTTTTTTAAGATTTTGCTCAGTTCAGCATAAAAATTCACTACTCCCAAATCTTAAATGGGAGTTTCACTATAAAAGGCAGAGGATGGCATGCATGCTCTATACTGTTACACATTTCACCCTAAAATCATTTGAGACATCCGCTGATATGCATTAATTTTTCAAGGATGTCATTAATTTAATGTAGGCATCCCTTGGAGCCTAACATCAAGTGTAGCCCACTGCAATAGAGAAGTGCCACAGTATGCAACACAGAGGCAGACACACCTTTGACTTCAAATTGAAATTAATGCTACAGTCATGAATAGATGGCAGCACCAAACAAAGCCTGGGTGTTTTCAGAAACCCTGAACAAAATATTGTTTACTGCAAAATAATGAGAATGCAGTACCAGCTGTTTTTAAACTCAGACAATCATGGTGTCTGCCTCATAGTTCTTTGCTTGAACGGGTTAATAAAATTTGTTATAATAAAAATAGGCACTGTGTACAACCACGAAAAGAAACCACTATATTGTGACATGTTGCACAATGGAGGACAACCCCTCCCCCCCCCAGCAGTGACGTGACAGGTGAGTCAGTGCTCCATCCCCCCCCCCCTCCGCACTGTGACATGACACACAACGCCGCTGTCGACACGGTGTCAGGCAACAGTGGTACCGATTACGTAACAGGCAAACACTGCGACTATATAAGTTAATGTGTAGCCGTCCCCAAGAGACAGATAAAGTGTATCAGCCGCCGAAGTGAGTTCTCAAGGCAGCAGCCTACGAGTTGGGTTGGAATCTAGCCAGCGTAGAGTTAAAGTGTAGCAGCCTACGAAGCGAGTTTTCAAGGCACTGCCTACGAAGTGAGTTGAAATATAGCAGCTGCCTAAGACAGATGAATTGTAGTAGTCACCGAGTTCGGTTATAACGAGTGTGTGATCAGGAGTTCTCAAGGCAGCAGATGCCAAAGACAGTTGGAGTACAACAGCAGTTGCGGAAAGAAGAACTGGACACGTGTGTAATTGGTAGTGTGTAATACAGAGAGACTTGTATAACTCCTGTACTGTGAATACGTGTAGACTATTGAGGACAGAGCGAAGAGATTATTGCGAATAGGGTTATAAAGCATGAAACCCCACAGAGTGAAGAGATTATTGTGAATAGGGTTAGAAAGTGTGAAACCCTGCAGAGTGAAGAGATTATTGCGAACAGGGTCATAAAGTGTGGAACTCCGCAACAGTGTTATAATCAATTGTAGTTACAACTTGTAGGTTGTTAAATAAACCAATTAACAATCCAAACGGCATCTTCAGTAACGAAACACGTTACACTGGTGTCAGAAGTGGGATTGGACTTACACACGTGACCGACAGGATTCGAACTCAAGGTACGTGACAATTTGACTGTCAGAATTGGTTTACGCACTTGAACACGCCTCAACGAATTAAACTACCGCACGATGGAGGCGGAAAATTTGTTTGAACGCCTAGTGGCAATAATGGATGCTGACCAGGTGAAGGCAGAGGCCGATCAAAAGGACCTAAAAGACATTTTTAAAATGTTGGCCGCAGAAACGAAAGCCTGGTGAGAAGAGATGGACGCCAGCCACAAGGAGATGGTTGCCGAAACCAAATCAGAAATGGACGTAATGTCGATGGCCTGCCGAGAAACGACAGAGGCGCATCTAGAAGAAGACGGGACGATGGCCTGCCAAGAAATGGAGGCATGTCTAGAAGAAGAAAAGCCGGCCTCAGTGGACATGAAACCTGCGGCTGAACAACAAGAAGAGGTCCCCATTGCAATACCGGTCGGAGTGACGATGGCCTGCCAAGAAATGGAGGCACGTCCAGAAGGAGAGCTGGCCTCAGTGGACAGGAAACCTGAGGCGGCAGAACTACGAAAGGTACCTGTACAAGTCACCAAAGTAATTCCAGTCGGAGTACTGAAGCAGAAAAAGTGTAGGGACCGAAACAAGCGACAAATGAAGAATTCAACACGGGAAAATCGCAGACCCCAGAAGAAGTTGGCTGTAGCCCACAGAAGGATGAGCCACCATGTGGAAGTGGCACGGCAGAAGAAAAACAGCAGGAAGATGTCCCACCATGCAACAGTAGCATGGCGAAAGAATAACATCTTCAGGAAATTTTGGACACAAAGAAATTGTGGACTGGGGAAAGAAGTAACCGCAGCCATGAGGAAGATCACATGCTGTGCAGAACACAGGCATATGAGACAAAACAAGAATAAGGTCGCACCGAAAATCACCAAGAAACGGACGTTCGGGAAGAGACTGTGGAAAGGCCCAGAACACAACACTGGCATCAGGAACCGAGGCCTCAGACAGCAACTACAACGCAGAAATGAAGTGAAGGACCTAGGCGGCAGACAGCCACGATATGTGAAGAAACCAGACCTGAGAAAAACTGCAAGACTGCAGATCGCCAAGCGAGTAGCCGGATTTTCTGTCGGCCTATGACAAGGCAAGAATTGGACACTGTGGAGGGGTCAACCCCCTCCAAAACAGAAAAAAGGGAAACAGCCCATATGGGGGGAACTGGTAGTAAGAGCACCGGCCTCCCTAGCAAGAATGAATGTAATACAAGGGATCTTCTAGGCAAGCTGAAAGGAAACCGCTCGAGACGAGCTGGTCTTAAGAGGGGAGCGGTTGTAACGGCCGGATAATAGTCGCTGCGGGGAGTAGCCAAAACAGGAGACGCAGAAAGCACAGCCTCCAAAGAAAAGGAACGGGGGTGCACCGTTAGGCTATTCGGGATGAACAGCCTTAAGGAGGGAGCAGTGTGACATGTTGCGCAATGGAGGACAACCCCTTTCTCCCCCAGCAGTGACGTGGCAACTCTGGCCATGGTGACGTGGCGGGTGAGTCAGAGCTCCGTGACTCGCATTATGAAATTTCACTTTAAGAGCTCTTTCCAGGAGAGTAACCATTCATAACTGTGGCAACTGTCTGCATTATGAAGTTAGTATACGATGAAATGACAGGAAACTGCAGCCACCATGTAAGTGAAGCTATAACACAAGAAATCTGTTACCTGTTCTCTTGCTCTGGATGTAGTAACCAAGGATGGGTCCTTTCCCAGAAGGACCATTTGCCCAGTGCATGTCAACACTGGACACTGACTTGCTCATCACAAGATCTTTGGGTTTTGCAGGTGAACCCTCCTGTGGTCCTGTTGTCACATTTCCAGTCACTGCTGGCCCATAATCAATTGTCAGTGCGCGCACTGAGAATGTGTATGTCACCTCCTCTTCCAGAGTCTGTATGAGCAGTTTTGTCCCTGTTACTTTCTGCTTCACCTGTTTGCTGAAACCTGAGACAAAAACACAAATATGAGATATGTCAACACAAAACAGATATACACGGCTAACAAGATCTGAGGTTCTCACAGCAGTGAACATTTAGGTTACAGGCCTCTATGATGTGACACTGTGTAGTCTGGTACATGGGTACCAGCAGTCTAGGTGAACATACTGCCTCAATCTTCAGGGTACAAGGATGACTCTTCTACCCTTAAGATTGGAGCTGTAGGGTCCTCTGAAATATTAATACTTCCCTACTAGACGAAATGCTGATCTCGGTGGCCATGAGGTCTAAGGCATGAACTGTCTTCGCTCACTTGAACACTGGGACTGTGGATTCAAATCCCACTCAAGGCATGGATGTCTGTGTGCGTTTATTCTGTGTTTGTGTTGTCCTGTGTATGTAGTGGCCTTGAGATGGGCTAATACCCCAGCCAAGGAGTCCTTCCAACTGTCTAAGATTAAGAAACTGAAGTGAAATGAAGTGTTTCATGGATGCCCTACGCTCCAAATGGGAGCAACAGGAATAAAGATAGCTAGATAGATAGACTAGATGACATGATGTCACTGGGTGAGCTGGTATAGCACTAGACTCCACTACACAAGTGAAACCTCCATTTAAGCTTCCTTTTAGAAGCAGTGGATTTCAACATTAAACCTAGGAAAATCTCAAAGGAAAGAGATTGAGCGGAAATTATTGACTTTGAACCATTTAAATTCAAGGTTTAACTTGGGGAGGGGAGTCAGAGTGAAGAACACTGAATGAGGGCTGAAAGTGTGCAACAGAATTAGAGAGAGTGTATGTGTCTGTTTCGTGTTGTGTTGTGTTGCATGTATACTGCATAAATGTCTTGTCATTCATGATACAAAGAAGAAGACACATAATAAATTGAAATCTCCCTGTCTTCCTCATTGCTATCTCCACATGAACTGTTGCTTTACTTACGTTCATTTTGTTCAGCTGTTTCATAGCTCACAATGTAGCCAATGATTTCTCCATTCCGTTTCTTAGGCCGATCCCATGACACCATCAGACTGCTCATTGTGATGTCAGAAAACCTCAGATTATTTGGAGCACCAGGTAAACCCTGACAACAATATAACTGGAGGTAACCGGGGGCATCAGTTAAAGCACATACCAGTTTCTCACCAAACTCAACGTGGAGACTTCTGGCTTGTGACACCATGTCAAATTTTGAACATTTTAAAATCCTTTTGATTTTTACCTGGCTGGATAAAATCATGTGAGGAGCTTCATAATTTGTGTTCCCTTACCAATTACAATCAGGATGATCAAATTAAGGATAATGAGAAGATCAGGGCATGTAGCATACAAGGGAGAAGAGAGGGTTGCTTACAAAATCTCTGCATGAAGACCTGAAGGAAAGAACCACTAGGAAGACCTAGATGTAGATGTGAGAATATGTGTTTTGCAGAAACAGGATGACAGGGTGTGGACAGGATTCAACTGGCACAAGATAGGGATCAGTGGTGAGAAATATTGGGTTCCACAAAATGGTAGGAATTTCTTGAGTGGGTGAGCAACTATTGGCTTCTTAAGAAGAACCCAGCTCCATGGAGTTAGTTCAGATTTGTAACTTGAAGAAAGTAAAAGGATCCTTTCAAGCAATGGAGGTTTCTTACAATATAACCGAGAAGGAAACACGTAACAATACAACTGTCCATTTCAGACTTTCAATGGTAATATAATGGTATAAAGATCTTTAATATGTATATGTATATACACAGTGAATCTCAAACTTCAGCTTTCTTTGGGGGAAGCAAGGATTTTAAAACTAAACTGAGGAAAATCTTAAGTGGAGGAAAATGACACAAAAAATTACTGACTTAGGATAAGTGGAATTCATGTGGATTCTAAAGGGTTCTGACAATGGTGTATAACACTCAGGTTTCCTAGGATTTTGGACCTTCTTTAGAATATCAGATGACGTGCAAAGTCCAAAAACCCAGGTAAATGAAAGGAGCCCTCAAATCGAAGAACATTTAATGGGGGTTACACTGGGGTGTGTGTATAACATTTGAGTAATGAGTCTTTCAACTGAGCTGAATACACAGCATCAAATGATAGGCAGATTCAAAAATGCTGAACTGGAAAGGATATAAAAATGTACATGGCCTAATTTGATATACTAACCTGAAATCTGGGGCCGTGCCATAGCTCAAGCGGTTAGTCGCTGGCTTCCCATCGTGGTGTCCTGGGTTCGATCCCAGGTCTGGTCAAGTGGGATTTGTGGTGGACAAAGTGGCACTGGGGCAGATTTTCTCTGAGTACTTCGGTTTCCCCTGCCACTCTTCATTCCACCAACTGCTCCACAATCACCCTCACCTATAATCTAGGGCTGGTACAATAGGCCAGAAGTGGCTGCAGTACAAGGGACTTAGTCCCACCCCACTAGCAATAAAAAAAAACCAGAAATCTGAGTGGAAGAACTAAGGAAAAGCTGCAAAAGAACCTCAATCATAATAGCCAGTCCCTGAATCAAGATCTGAATCCCAACCTCAAGGATAAGAAGCAGGACAGCTAATCAGGACTCAGTGGCAGAGTTGGGTTAGCATTTGTCTGTTCCCCCTTACCAGTGTAGAGCGACGGAGGAATTTGAAGCTCTGGGGAAGCTGGACACCACTGATTAACATACCTGTAAAGTTTTGACTGTTATGGGTCCAGACGGGGGTCCATCACCTGCTGGATTGAAGGCTAATATCTGAATCTTGTATTCAGTGAATTTATCCAGGAACACCAAGCTGTGTGAATTGTATGATGCTGGAACAACTTCCAGCTCTTCTTCACGACGAATCTCTTCCTCGTCTTGGGGCGAGTCCGTAACAAGGTAGAAAATCTGTCACATATCACACAAATTTAATTAGAATAAACAGCTCTGTCATATTTAATATATTGTGACATTTGTGCCATGCAGGACACCCCCTCCCCCGCCAGCGGTGACATAACACCTTCGGAGCTTTGCCGCTGCTATGGTAATAGGCCAGTCAACACCCCGCACCTTCCCGTGGTGACATTACCAAGGGATGCCGCGGTTGCTACAGAGCAGTAAACAACTCTCGACAGTGTTGATAGGCAACCTGCAAACACGGCATCAGGCAACAGCGGTACCTATCACATAACTGTTTTCTGTGTTGTCCGTGCCGAGGCTAAATAAGGAGCAGCGAACACTAGTTAGTTAGTAGTGAGTGATTGGTAGTGAGTAGTGAGTACTGAGCCAGTTACTAGAGAAAGAGTAACCAGTTAAATGCAGTCTAGTATTTGTGATACTGCCGATGGCAGTAATCGTGAGATTGTAATGGTGTGGTTGTAGGAGCGAGTGGAATAAATTCGCTATATCCAATATGGCACGAAGTTATTTGTCGCGTTATACACCCAACATGTGACAATATGATTACGTACAGTAAAACTCACACTTAATGTTCTCAATTTAAGGTTACATTTCAGTGACCCCAAGTCAATGAGTCCAATATTAAATTTTGATAGCCACTACCAGAACTGGAGTTTTATACAATTCACCCAGTTCTCAGTAAGTTCTAATTCTCCAAGCCCCTTGCTCAGTTGCTGCTTCCTCAATGTTTCCTCTCCCACATTTGTAACATCAATAAACTCAGTGGCTTGTAGTCCACAAACGAACTATACCAACCGAGCAACCGCCACTTGTCGGCGAAGTTAGTGCCAGCTTTAGCAGATAGAGGGTGTCACATGGTAATCACAGCAGATCCCCACAGCAATTAATCTCGGTTTTCTAGACCAAATTTTAACATGGATATGATAGTGAATTATTATACTGTGTTGTTACCATGGCATCAAATGATAAGAAAGCTGATGAACAATGAATTGGAAAGGATTTAGAAGAAAGTGGCTGTGGCCTATTCAAGGTATTCCTCTGATACGTAAGTAAGAATTAGGATTGAATTCCATCAAGCACAACTATGTTTTTTAATAATAAAAAATATTAAAAAATTGCTGCACTTGATGGAATTCAATCCTAATTGTACTTCTACATAATACAGTGCAACGGCCAAGGGCAATGTCTGTCATAAAAATACTACTCTGTTATTTCCCTAAGGGGACTGAGAAAAATCTCAATCACTTTAGCTGGTATCCTGGCTGAGATCTAAACCAAGCACCTCCCACATATGAGTCTAGAGCATTAGCACTACTCCAAGCCACTCAGTCATAAAAATGATAGTGCAAGGAAAATCATATTGAAGGCCACAAACCAAATTCTATTGGCTCAGGACAACTGAAAGGCGTGGAGTTGCTCACCTTGTAACCCAACAGGTCCCCATTCTGCTGGCTCTGCTGGGGAGGCTTCCAATGAAGCCTCACCTCTGTGGATGAGACAGCCTCTCCTTCTACTGCTTGTGGCTCCCCTGTTGGCACCGCTTCACCGACATACACTGCTACAGGAGGGCTAGGTGGTCCAGAACCTTGGGAGTTGAATGGGACCACCACAATGTCATAGTTACAGTTGCGAGTGAGGTCCTTCAGCACCACCTGGTTGGACTGTTGTGTAACATTGCAAATGCATCAACCTCACTTCCTCAGTTTTAAAAAATGTCAGCAAATAGTTTTAACATCTACTGCCTGGAAATAGGCAACCAAAGTCCCTGGTTCTCAAGGGGTTTGTGGCACGATTTTAACTTTTGTTTGTGTGTGGGCATCAGCCACCTAGACTAAAAAAAATTGTCCTTACAATAGTATAGCAAATAGTCAATAAACCTTAAAAAGTCAATTAAAATGATAGAATGTTTAAAAAGAGAGACAAAATAACAATTTCAAACATTTACATTTTAAGCATTCTTTCCGAATGTTCTTCTAAGCCTTCAGACTACCAAACCCCAACATGGAGCTACCTGTCATAAATGCCAAGGCTGCTCAGAAGCAAATGCAATGATACAGAAAACCCCACAATTCTTCCTCAAAGTACCTTCAAACAGCTATAGGTATAAATAAAGTGAAAGCCTGTTCTTTCACTTAAACATCAAGTTATCACACTTGATGTCACCTATTGAGAGAAGTGCTGTACTAAGCGACTCATGACCTGATCTCTTTGGCTCTGTCAGTTTCAATGCAAGTATGCTGGCTTGCAACATTCATACAGTTAAAGCGTTTTAATTTGTATTCCCTCTTCACATGGAATATCTTCATTACATTTATGATCAGTCATTCTCCATTCTGCAAACACTCATTTATTCTTTCATTCATCCGGCATTCAGATCCATACAAAAGCACAGATGTCATTATCACTAAGCTTATAGGATTTGCTTTTGGTGTGTCCTTAGTAGTGTGTGTTTTACAGCTCCACACAACTGTTCATGTATATTTACTTTTACATTTAATGATCACTGTTTGCAGGCTAAGTAAATCAACATTTCTTACTCGTTCAAGCATTTTTCACTATATGAAATAAGCTCTTATGATTTCTTCTACTTAATATTAAATCATATTTGTTCTTGCAGTAGGAATGCTCATATTGTGCCCATTAACTCTATTATATGTGTAGGTTTTAAATGCAAGAAATAGAAGAATGAAGCTTCTGGCAACAGCTGAGATTGGATGAAATGTCTGAACATTAGACTCGAAGTATAATGACATAACAGGAGCTTACCGCAATGCCCATCACATCTTCTTTGGGGGTAGCCTGTGCTGCTGTAGGGAACTTTTCAGAGCGATACTCAACACGATAACCTCCCGTCTTGTGGTCTCCACTCCAGTAAATCTTCTCCACTGTGTCCCATTCTACCCTCACGCTCGTTGTGGTAATTGGCACCACCTTCAGGCCTGTCACACCTCTGCTTGGAGCTAAGTAGTACAATCACAATTTCACTTATCTGTTAATTTCTTGTTCCATCACATCCATTTGAGGCCGAAGCTTAGATACAGAATTGTGTCAAATTATCTTGCTAATACAATCAAGCAATTGTCTAATGTATAATTTATAACAAAAATTGTTTACATCATAGTAAAGTTATTCTCTAATATTTAAACATTAAAACTTCAATAAAATTCAAGATGAGATTTTAAATAAAATAACAAATATTGATCATACAGTTCTTTGATATAAAATGAATTCATCATATATATTCTACTAAATATATTATATTTGCATACTACTACATGTCTACTGCTTATATGCTCTGAAACTTTGATGGTGAATAAACGAAGTAAGATCTTTTGGGGTGATTAGGAGCAATGGAGACAGAGCATATCCCTGAAAAGTTGGATTTCAGTTCATCCCTGATGAAGATAGTTGCCAAAGATTTTAGTACATTTGGCTAACATCTGGCAGAGGGTTTCATAAAATATTAAATAATTTGCATGACAATGCAGTTGTATCTCAGGCTTATGACTTAACGTGTTCCTGAAACTGGATCATACATCAAGCTCATTAGAGCATGACATTCAGAGTCACATTCCTGGGACAAAGGGCTCAAATTCATTTTTCGATATTTTTAAACACTATTATACTATAATTCTATTGTTTTATTATAATGCCAATAAAGGAATATCAAATAAAATAATAAAAACATTTAAACTATTGAAAATATTAAAATTAAATTAATATTTTACCACGGATTGCAGAGTTATGATCCAAGCCATCAGAATATTTGAAAACTTCATAAACAACTAAATAATACACATTTCATCAAAATCTGACATGTCCAACACCTCCCCAGAATCAGATAGGAGAATTCTGATTGTGGGAGATTTTGAGAGGGAATGGACTTGCAGGAGGAAGGTTGAAGAGTGGCTGCTGGGATCTTAGGCTTCCTGAAGAAATAGTACAAGGCCTCAAATTCAAGTTTCATGACATAGGCCCAGAAATTCAAGGCCAAGGACTAATGGGTGTTAATTTAATAGGATTGCATACCCAGAAATTTGTAAGTCAGGAAGTTGTAGGTTGAGGTATGACTGTATTTCTAACACATATAGTGTTCAAGTGATATCATACCTGCAGGAAGTGTTTGCACAACATCTGACTGTACACATGACTGTATTTCTAATACATATAGTGTTCAAGTGATATCATACCTGCAGGAAGTGTTTGTGCAACATCTGACTGTACACTCCATCCACTAGGACCTATGTCATTGGTGGCCTGGATCCTAAACCGATATGATGTGAAGGGCTTGAGGCTGGCCACCGTGTATGAGGTAACCTGAGGATCAACTCTCTCTGGAACCGTCTGCCAGGGGCCAGAATTCTCTGCATACTGAACAGTGTAATACCTGAACAAAAGTATGTATGCTGGTTAACTGCTTGAGGCCTGAAGTTCATCTAAGAAATATTCAGAGAATTGGTTTCTATGTCACAGAAAACACACTGCATCCCCATTACAAGACCAATTGGTTGACAATGTTTTCACAAATAATCTCTGCTTAGTATGAGAATCATGCAAAAACACATACTCAGTATGCAATATGCAGAGATTTTTAATGCTACAGGAAGTGGTACAGATAGTTATTACTATGCTTTAAATCAAAGTCAGTCTGTCCTTCTGTACTGTGAATAATTGTCAAATGACAGTCAACAGGGGAAAATAGTTTCTTAGTCTTAAAATTACAGTGAAACTTCATCATCGTCATCATCATCATCATCACTTTCAACACTAGGCCTACTGTGATCTGTTAAGGATGCCACAAAACATTATATATACTTCCATTTCTCAGAGGTCTTCCAAAACTATATTTTCCTTTTGGTTGACACTGTAATCTTTTCTGGAATCCTGTCAGAGTTTATCCTGTGAAAATTCTTTTGTAATTCCTTCTGACTGAGGTTTTTCACTGTTCCCTCAAGTACCACCAGGAAAATTCCAGCCAATTTATTATACACTTATCATCCTACCATTCAACACAATATAATCTGATCTACTGAAGATGTCAATATACAAATCATCAAATAAATACATTATATAATTTGGTGATGTACCTTAGAGGAGAGAATCCATCACGTCCTGGAGTCCAGCTGAAGGTAATCTGTTCACTTTGAACTTGGCTTGGACTAATCTGTGGTACAGATGGAGGTTGAGGCCGTTCACGATTATTTGTAGTAAATACTAGTGCGTTGGCTGTTTTCCCCCATCCCAAGCGAGTCTGAGCAGTCACCGAGAACATGTAATATTGCTCCGGAGCCAATTCTGTTGCCCTGCAAGAAAAGTCATAATTTCATTTAACTAAACTAATGGACTCCAATCAGCTCTTACAAAGACAGTGACAAACTTTAAAGTTCCATTAAAGACGCAAAATTTCTTAAGTTGCTGAGTGATCATTTCCTTCTTAAGAAGGAATCTGTTGCAAGGAGTTTGTTAGTTAAGTCATTCCACGGAGCGGGGACAGTCTTGAGAATATGATGGTATCCAACTGCTCAAGAAATGTCCCTCCTCCTATGGAACCAGAAGGTTCATCATCAAGTCTACAAAAGCTACATGCTACAATATGTATTTATGGTACAGGTAAATTTGTCACGTGTCTAAGTAAACACTACACCATGAAAACCTATGAGGAAGTGGAGGTATATGTCCACGCGTACTTAACCTCGGCACTAACAGGAATGAGTGATTTACACACTGACCACCCCCCGATGTCCAATGGGCATGAGGCTGGGTGGGTCTCAGAGCCAAACTCAGCACTGTGGAGAAGAGAAGTCACTCACCCCTGCCAGAATGCACCCCCATTCTTTGGTCATACAGCACCTAGCCTAATCACTATACTGACTTAGCTATGTCGGATCTCATATACTTCTTACTTTACTTACCGATATGTTCTGTCCGAAGGTGGAAACTCACGGGAGAAGTTGACATTACTGTGAGTGCGTAAATGGTATGTCACACGATATGCTAAAATTTCTCCATTTGGTTCATCTGGGACATCCCATATAACGCGGGCCATCGTCAATGATACGTCTGGAAATGATACATTGGACGGTGCCCCAGGAGCTGAAAGCAAGAGATTATACAAGGTGTGCTGGATCTGGTCTTGTCTGAGGTGTCTGCAGGGACCTTTGTCTTCTGGGATATGACACCATGTAATTTGGTAGAAGATTACTGATCTTTAGGAATAACATACTGCCTCCATCTTCCAGTACGAATCATGAACAAGCATGCAGGGAGCTTACTATTCATACCTGAAGATGGAGACAGCATGGTGCTCTGAAAGGTAGGTAAACTTCTACCATATCACATGGAGTCACATCCCATAAGACTGCACCTTTTATGCAGGAACTTTTCAATCAGTAACACCCACATAAAGAAAGTTTATGACCCCTGAATATTGGTGTATGGAAAACTGAAAGATCTGCTGCAAAAGCAAACTACAGTGCATATATGTTATTAATATTTTCCCATTGCTCAGCACTACAGTAAAAGTAAAAAGTAAGGGTATCCCTGTGACAGGCCGTGGAGGCCCATGGGGTTGTGATATGTTGAGGCTCCCACATTTTCTAGATAATCGGTTCACAGATGGCGGTAAGTTATTATTATTATTATTTATGATAATGAAATTATTATTATCATTTATTTGCTTGTTTGTTTACTTTTCTTCATTACTGTGTTTCCCCAAGAAATTTCCTGTAATTTATTTTTGACTTATAATGTGTTTGTCTAATGTCTGTATAATGTTACACGTAATTACTTTCATCTACACTGTGCTAAGTCTGTAACTGGCCTTACGGCTGTTGACTTGGCACATAAATAATAAAGAAATGAACTGAATTATTATTATTATTATTATTATTATTATTATTATTATTATTATTATTATTATTATTATTATTATTATTATTATTATTATTATTCCTTCCTTATTCCATTATATCTATAGTAGGCTAAAGCCTTAGGTACAGAATTGTGTTAATTTACCTTGCTAATACTATCAAGCATTGTCAAAAAGACTTATAATATATGACTACGTTTGTTTACATCATAATACAATGACTCTCTAGCACAATACACTCAAAATTATCATTTAAAATAAAAATTTAAGATAAAAGTTTCCATCAAAAATAACAGAATATTTTGGTCATATAGCTTTAATATATACAACAAATCCAACATACAAGGTGGTTCAAATATGACCAGGGCTGATTTTTTGTAAACAAGCCGCACTTCGCAGTAGCTGTGCGACCTTGCGAGATTGAAGCCACAACCTCCACCCTCCGCGGAGCGTGGAACAACACATTGTGATCAAATTCCTCGTTGGAGAAAACGTCCGGTCCACTGAAATTCACCACAGACTCCAACAACAGTATGCGGAAGAGTGTCTCTCATGGACCCATGTGTTTGAGTGGTGTAAGTGCTTCAGAGAGGGCAGAGAGCACGTGGAGAATGAACCGCATGATTGTTGGCCGTGAACACTGATTGTGCAGACGTGCTTATTCGTGAGAATAGGCTCATCACTATCAAGGAACTTGGAGTAAGATCCGATCCAAGCAGAAGACAGGTGGAAAGCAGGTAGTCTTCCTTCAAGACAATGCACGCCCCCATACGTCCAAAACAGCAATGGAAACCCTTCAGAAATTGAAATGGAACCTTCTGACACATCCGCTGTACAGTCCCGATTTGGCCCCAAGTGATTTCTACCTGCTCGGAAGGCTCAAATCAGACTTGCAAGGCATGTGGTTTGTGGACAATCACGCCTTCATCCAGACTGTTCGGGAGAGGATACGCCGCCAACCACAAGTCTTTTTTTGGGGGGGGGGCATCAGGATGCTTCCAGAAAGTTGGAAAAAATGTGTTGACTCCGGAGGGGAGTACATTGAAGACTGACATATGCAAGTAAGTGTTTGGCAATTATGTTTTTTTTTTAAATCAGTCCCGGTCATATTTGAACCACCTAGAATAAAAAAATTAAATTATAAGTATGGTTATCGTACATTCACAATGATTATCCATTTACTGTACTACTCAACATCTTACATATTTACATAGTTGTATAATCATTATTTCTTAAAAAATTCATCCAGAGTATAAAAAGAATTTAAATAAAGATATTCCTTTAAATTGTTTTTAAATTTTGAATTGCTTCATTTTTGGTCCGTTACACTATCAATCACAAATTCAATAGAAAGTCCGTCGAGTGTAACAATGTTTTTAGGTCACTTCTTTATCACATTTGCCTTACATGTTTCGGTTTAATAAAACCATCATCAGAGGCACATATTACAAACACATGAAAACACTGGCGTTGTTTAAATGTACACAGTATATATGCTGCGTGGACGCTGCTACAAATGTCGATGTGTAAAAGCACAACACTTGCTAGGAATATTGAATGCACGTTCAACTCTCGCATTCCATCCGAAATTGCCCTCAAATTAAACCGTCAATGTTAAAATATTTAAAAGTTTAAAACATTTGAAGTAAAATGTTAGGCTCCTCCTTGTTAATTCATCCCGATGATGGGAGATGTCATCTTGAGGTTGTATAGGCTTATGGTCAGATGTTTCCTATGCGTTGTGTGTTGTGTACTGCCTGTACACAACAGTACACAACACACAACGCATAGGAATTTTATGTGATTTGTATTTAATAAAACCGTTCCTATGCCACCCATTTCTCTAACTACATTATTTTTTTAAGTGAAGTTTATGTATATATATGTTTTCATTATATTAAGTGACATTAAATTTTTTTAAACCAGTCCCCCAGCATCCTGTATACTTCATTTATTGTATTTTTAAGTTTTATTGGATTGTCTTGAGAGATTAAAAAACTGGCATCATCAGCAAATAGAATGGGAATACTCTTAGTCTCCAAAATCTTGGGTGGTCCCAGGATCGACCCTTGCAGGACACCATTAGTTACGTTAATCCATCGAGAGTTTACTTTACTACAGGTTGTCCCATGGGAGATAGCAGTTCTCTGTTTTCTATTTAACAGATATGACTTATATAGGTCGTATTGTTTGTCTTTTATTCCATAATACCTCAATTTATTTAATAATATATCATGGCTAACACAATTGAAAGCCTTTTCTAAGTCACAGAAAATCGCACAGACTTGCATTTTTTTATTTAATGAGTCTAATATTCCAGAGATAAGTCTATAAATTGCATTTTCAGTCCCTTGATTTTCTCTAAATCCAAACTGGTATTTGCTTAATATACTATTATCATTCAAATGTTTTAACAATCTACTATGCATTACCTTCTCAAATATCTTATTAATAGATGTCAATAGGGATATAGGTCTGTAATTTGATTCTGAGTTTTTATCACCTTTTTTGTATATTGGAACAATTGTCACACTTGTCTTGTGCGAAGATATCCGCGTACTCGGACACGAGATCCTCTAACTCTTGAAATTCTCCGGGGCTTAGGTGTGGCTTGGCCGCTGTGGTCACGTCCGCTAATTTCGGTGTTAGACCCGGGGCTGGTTGCTGCCCCACCTCGGGCAAAGCCACGAGTGTTACTGGCTCACAGTGCGCCAGAGGAGATCCTCTCCTGAGCTTTTGGTCCTTGTGGGTAACATTCATGACCCTTACTGGTACTTCTTGACAGTCCTGAACTAGGGTCCTAGCTACGTAAATTCCCTCAGGTGGATGGGCCTGGGGGCTTGGGTCTACTAGACCATTCTCTACCCCCCAAATGATTCTTCATTTTAGCCATCACTATTCCCTCGCTCCGTGCGCGTATCACATGGTCTTTTGCCACTACTAAGTTAGAAGGACGGGGTCCTGCCCCAGGACTCCATAGTGATACTTCTTCTTCCGCCAGACGAAGAGTTTGGCGCCCTATATCCACTGAAGCATCATAGGCGCGTAGTATGTCCAGTCCCAGGATGAGCTCATCGGTGATATTCGCGATGAAAACCCACATCGTAATAGGTTGGCGCCCTAG